TTTATATATTTATTATGTTTATATTTTTCTCTGTAGGTTCAGGACAAATAGTGGAAGCATTCTGAAAATACTATTTTTCTTGCATTAGCATTGAATCTGAAAGACAGAAATCTGGGAAAAAAGATACAACTTGAAGTGCACAGTATGTGTGTTCATATTTCTATAAATATGATAGTCATTCCTAGCTCTGACATGCTGCAGGGGACTCATCCTATAGGGGACACAGTAGACCCACTCATGTAAACATGAAGGCGGTATAGTAGCTAGATGCCACCAGGCATTCTGTTGAATCAATATGGTTGAAATTAATTGGTCAACTGCATATCCAAGAAGTTTCAAATGGATTGGTATGGAAGTAATATACTTAAGTGTGATTTCACCTGGGAAAATGGACTTCACTTAAAACATATACTCGTGCAAATTCTCGGCATACTTTCTTTTGTCTATTGTAAGTTTTGTTATGATGCTGTGATATTTTAGTGCTTGTTCCTCCTCACCAGAAAATAAATGTTCTCCTTTATTGTGAGAGACTGAACCAGGCAACAAAGTTTCTCTCCAGGTATCATATACAGAATGAATTTGTCATATTTAAACATATTCAAAACTTCTATCTAATAAAAGTGTCAGTGTTAGTGGAAAGGAGACTAGAATTACCATAGTGGAAAGAAGGGGTATGACGAAGAGTTTGTGTCCTGTGGAGATGGGCAAGGTGTGGCAGAAGCTGCAAAGCACTAGAGAGGCAGATCTGGACACGCCTGCTGGTCACAGATCAAATAAGAAGATCAGAAGGAAGAGCTGGAAGAGATGTCAAGTACTGACTTGAAAGCAAGATAGTTAAGATAGTTACAGACATCCTTGGTGGTCCTGGGAGAATGGGGACTGTGTGGGCTCATACTTACATCCTTTTGGAAGCCCCCTTTTAATATTCAGATGGGGTTTGCTGCAGTCCCTTTCTGTTCGACCTAAGGTTCCTGTTATTTATGACCCCATTTCCACTTCTCTTGGCTGGATTAATTCCACTGTGGTTATTCCAAAGGGATTCAAATTTCCTTTCTAAAATAAATGCCTGTCCTCCATCAACCTTCTTCTCAGTATCTCCCTCAGTTTAGGAAATTGTATGGCCACAAAGTACGCTGGTCATTGCCTTCTCCTGTCCACCACCCTCTTGTGTGAGAATGTCGTATTGGAAACACTGTTTCTTGTTCCCAACTTCTTTCTCTAGAACAATGCTTTCCTCTGTAATTTTACTTCTTTCCTGGAAATGGCCCTTCTGGAGAAGGTCATGTTGTTTGTGTTGTTTGAGGCAGGCAGGGAGAGTGTTTGGTTCTATCCACAGCAGTTAGAGTGTAGTATAGTGTTTCTATATATGGACTGCTATGGTGTTTTGTTATGAAACAGCTTCTGATGCAGGATGACAGCGGTCTTACAGTTTCCAAGTGTATTTCATCCTTCTATGAAACTGACAAATCTCTCTGTACCCATAGATTATGTACATAAATGTTTTAAAAGCTCAGTTGTACCATCCTGAAATTAAACTGAGAACTGTTAACTTAAGAAAAACCAGTGTTATAGAATCAGAGAATAATTAGGGTTGGAAAGGACCTTAAGATCATTTAGTTCCAACCCCCCTGCCATGGGCAGGGACACCTTACACTAAACCATATCACCCAAGGCCTCGTCCAACCTGGTCTTGAACACTGCCAGGGATGGAGCATTCACAACCTCCCTGGGCAACCTATTCCAGTGCCTCACCACTCTAACAGGAAAGAATTTCCTCCTTATATCCAATCTAAACTTCCCCTGTTTTAACCCGTTACCCCTTGTCCTATCACTACAGTCTCTAATGAAGAGTCCCTCCCCAGCATCCCTATAGTCCCCCTTCAGATACTGCAAGGCTGCTATGAGGTCTCCACGCAGCCTTCTCTTCTCCAGGCTGAACAGCCCCAACTTTCTCAGCCTGTCTTCATACGGGAGGTGCTCCAGTCCCCTGATCATCCTCGTGGCCCTCCTCTGGACTTGTTCCAACAGTTCCATGTCCTTTTTATGTTGAGGACACCAGAACTGCACACAATACTCCAGGTGAGGCCTCACAAGAGCAGAGTAAAGGGGCAGGATCACCTCCTTCAAGCTGCCGGTCACGCTCCTCTTGATGCAGCCCAGGACACAGTTGGCTTTCTGGGCTGCAAGCACACACTGCCTGCTCATGTTCATGACCAACACCCCCAAGTCCTTCTCTGGAGGCTGCTCTGAATCTCTTCTCTGCCCAACCTGTAGCTGTGCCTGGTATTGCTCCCACCCAGGTGTAGGACCTTGCACTTGGCATGATTAAACTTCATGAGATTGGCATCAGCCCACCTCACAAGCGTGTCAAGGTCCCTCTGGATGGCATTCCTTCCCTCCAGCGTATCAACCGAACCACACAGCTTGGTGTCATTGGCAAACTTGCTGAGGGCGCACTCAATCTCACTCTCCATGTCAGCGACAAAGATGTTGAACAAGACTGGTCCCAACACCGATCCCTGAGGGACACCACTCGTTACTGGTCTCCAGCTGGACATTGAGCCATTGACCACAACTCTTTGCGTGTGGCCATCCAGCCAGTTCTTTATCCACCGAGTGGTCCATCCATCAAATTGATGTCTCTCCAATTTAGAGACAAGGATGTTGTGTGGGACAGTGTCGAACGCTTTGCACAAGTCCAGGTAGATGACATCAACTGCTCTACCCCTATCCATCAGTTCTGTAGCCCCATCATAGAAGGCCACCAAATTGGTCAGGCAGAATTTCCCCTTAGTGAAGCCATGCTGGCTGTCACCAAGCACCTTGTTGATTTTCATGTGCCTTAGCGTGCCTTCCAGGAGAATCTGCTCCAAGATTTTGCCAGGCACAGAGGTGAGACTGACTGGTCTGTAATTCCCCGGGTCATCCATTTTCCCCTTCTTGAAAATGGGGGTTATATTTCCCTTTTTCCAGTTGTTGGGAACTTCACCTGACTGCCATGATTTCTCAAATATGATGGCCAGCGGCTTCGCAACTTCATTTGCCAGCTCCTTCAGGACCCGCAGATGGATTTCATCAGGACCCATGGACTTGTGCATGTTCAGATTTTTAAGATGGTCTCCAACCAGTTCCTCTCCTACAGTGGGCACAAGGCCTTCATTCTCACAGTCCCTGCATCTGCCTTCCAAGACTTGGGTGGTGTGGTCAGAGCCTTTGTCACTGAAGACCGAGGCAAAGAAGTCATTCAGAACCTCAGCCTTCTCCAAATCCTGTGTAGCCAGTTCTCCCGAGTGCTTCCTGAGGGGGCCTACTTTCTCCCTAGCCTGCTTTTTATTTGCTATGTACCTGTAGAATCCCTTCCTGTTATCTTTAATACCTCTAGCTAAGTTTAATTCTAACTGGGCCTTAGCTTTCCTAACCTGGTCTCTAGCTTCCTGGACAACATCCCTGTACTCTTCCATGCCACCTGTCCTTGCTTCCACTTATTATAAGCCTCTTTTTTCATTTGAATTTTCCTCAGCAGCTCCTTATCCATCCAAGGAGATCTCCTGGCCCTCCTGCTGCACTTCCTTCTAGTTGGGATGCAACACTCCTGAGCTCGTAGTAGGTGATCCTTGAATATCAACCAAGAGTCTTGGGCCCCCCTGCCCTCTAGGGCTGTATCCCATGGAACCTTCCGAAGCAGGTTCCTGAAGAGGCCTCTTCTGCTTCTGTCTTTTACCTCTGGATCTGGATGTCCTGGTTTTGGATGGGATAGGCTTAATTTTGTTCCTAGTAGCTGGTACAGTGTTGTGCTTTTGGATTTAATATAAGAATAATGTTGATAACACATTATTAATTGATGTTTTAGTTGTTGCTGAGTAGTGCTTACTCTAAGTCAAGGACTTTTCAGTCTCTCATGCTCTGCCAGTGAGGAAGGGCACAAGAAGCAGAAGGGAGCAGCCAGGACACTTGACCCAAAGTGTCCAAAGGGATATTCCATATCATGGCACGTCATGCCCAGTATATAAACTGGGGGGAGTTGGCTGGGAGCCAGTCGCTGCTTGGGCATGGGCTGGGCATGGGTGGTGAGCAATGATATTGTGCTTTCTTGGGTTTTAAGTTTCATTTTTTATTGTCTCCCACTTCATTAGTATTATTATTATTGTCATTATTATTAATAATGATTTTATTTCAATTATTAAACTGTTCTTATCTCAACCCAAAGCTTTCACCTTTTCTTTTTTCTGATTCTTCTCCCTGTCTGACAAGGGAAGTGTGTGGGGAGAGTGAGCAAGTGGCTGTGCGGTACTTAGTTGCTGGCTGGGGGTAAACCATGACACTGGACTGGTCAATTTGGGGGAAAAACAGAAAATAAGAAATGCTCTTGTAATTGTATGGTTAAGACATAGATCCTCCAGAACTGGCATACTTTGTGGCCATGTAATTGGCACTAAAGAAAGGAAGTCAAGCATAGTCAGGCTAAGGTGTAGAAGAGCTCTGCCCAATCTTGGTCCAAATGAACCTGAAATTATCAGACTTTCAAAGACTGCTTTTCAAGTGAAGTGTGAGAATGCACTAGTTCCAGAATGTGACAGATTTATAACTATTGCCATTTGTGGCCATTTTATAGATAAGGTTTTTTGGTTTCATTACTTCATTACATTGCAAAACCAGTGAGATTAGGCAGGGATGAGGAAAAAAGAGATCAAAGCTATAGACAGAACACTGAAAATTTGTGAAACCATTTTACTGGCGGAGGCACAGAAGATTTCTCCAGACTGTGCTCAGAGAAATGTCCAAGCCCTTAAGAGTTTGCTTTTCAAATTCCTCTTTGAGTTTTATGTGGTTTGCTCATCAGTGCCACAGCAATGGGACATGGCATTTCCCAGGGATAATTAAGTACTCCCATAATGTTGCCAGGTGACCTGTAGGTCCCGCAGTAACATTACTCAGACAGAGAGAAATGGGACCTAAAGTCAAAGCCTTTCCTTCAGTCATCTTTTTTTTCCTGTTTTCAGGAAAGCAGCAGATCATGCAGAGCAAGAAGCTTATGAGCCAATGAGGAATTTTGACACAAAATAGTGCATTTTGGAGAAGTGATTTGGCCACTCAGGGTCTTGCAAACATTTATTCTGCATGATGTATGTGGTAATTGTGACCCAGAAACAAAGCCATATGCCACAGGGCTCTAAATGTATACTCAATTTTCCATTTTCATCATATAACAATAGCAACAGTAATCTATTTATAGACAATGGCACGACATTTCATAACTGATCAAGATCAGTTCAGAGCATCAGGTCCTGGCTAGGCATTAAACCTTCAGGAAATATCTCTCTGCTGCATTATCATTGCCTTACTATTTACAGCAACTATCACAACTATTTGTATAAATATTTGCTTTCCTGATACTGGCACCCCGAAGGAGTTCAGGTCAGGATATTGTCTGCATATTGTATAGCATTACAACATGTAAGTATTTAAGTGACTGTGGAAAAGAACAGGAGGCTTCAAATCTGACTGAGAAATGAAGGGGTCTGTCTTGGAGCACCTGCTCTGCGCAGTTGGCTTTTATTAAACAATACAACGTGCAACTCTGCAGGAGGTCAGAGCAGATGATCTAATGGGTCTTCTTGCCCTTGAAATATGCAAACTACACCACTTTAAAGTTAGTGTCAGAGAAGCCAGTAAAATTGAATTTAGGCTTGTCCATTTAGATTATTACAAAAAGGTATTTGGTGGAGCAGTTTCTCTGATCTCTTTTATTTCCAGTTTTGTTATGGTCGGTAGAAGGAGATACTTGGATTCACCTAAGAAGTCTGCATTCCCAAATACAGTGTCGGTGACCAGACACTTCAGCATTGTGATAGGCACCGACTGAACTTTATTCCTACTCAGTTTCACTTCCTGGGTGCTTTCCTTATTAGGCTAAATGATGAGCAAATTGTAAAATAAAAAATGCCCCAACTGTATCAGCACATTGGAATTTAAGAACCCTTCCTCATGTAATGAGCTGAGGAATTACAACACAAAGCACTCCTTTCTCTCAAGCTGACTGATTAACATAATAAAGTTAAACTCAAAGCAGCTTGTTCTCAACTTGTATTTAGCCTGAGGTGTTTTTCTTGTATTTCAGACCTGACAAAGGGCTCATGTGCCTGGAAGCACGTGCCTGCTATTTTCCAGCTATATCATTTGGTATAATTAAAAACCTTACCTCTTCCTACAAACTTCGCCACAGGAATCTACATGGCTAAGCAGGTTTTTTTCCTATGTCATTATTTAAATCTGGCACAATCTTAAACCATTAGAATTATGTATGATTTGCCAAATTTCTGGTGTCACTGACCATTACACCCATAGTTGAAAGTTGGCATCAGTTTCACATATGGAAAATATGCCCTGCAGCCAGATAATACAGGAGCTAGATAAACTTATTTTATGACAAAAAAAGATTAAGGGGTGACTTGAGCACTGCCAATAAACAGATGTGAAGGCAGAAAAATTGGATGCGTAAATGAGTAGTTGAAGAAATTGTAGGATCCAGTCCCAGACACACAAGCCAGAAGTCTGTGAATATTGAACTGTAGGTTTTTTGTTTTGTTTTCTTACGATTTTTTGATAAAGCAGTTATATGCCAAAGAACGTGGTAAATCTTCCATCACTTGGCATCTATACAGAAGGTTCAGCAACTGCCAAACTGGTTTTGAAGCCTGTGGGCTTGACAGAAACAGCAGTGGAGAAGCTGAAGAGTCCTTGTTCTTCTCTAGGATAGTGTAAATGATCAAAAAAAGACCTTCGTTCCTGTTTAAATAAGCTGGGACAGAGCACCTCTGAGAGACAGTGAAAGGCTATTTACACATCAAGGTGAGCTCTGCTCAAGTAGCTCAGTTAGAAGAGACTGCATTGTCTCCCAAGAAGAGCATCCAGCTGACTTGCCCTAAGCCTTTGAAAAGCGGCAAGATGCCGAGTTTACCTACTCATTGTGTGTAAGGCCAACATCAGTCCTGAACTCGGACAAGTTTGGATTGGCCCCGTTGTGGGTGGGCACATTCAAATCTTTGTGTTTCATTAAACTGTGGAGTGTTTGATTTTGTTTGCTTTTCCACCAGGCTGCCTTCCTTAGCAGGACTGTGTGATGTGAAGAATGGGTGTGCCCAAGGACCTGCATAATCCCCTGGTAATTTATGCAGAAGCAGGGGCTGGCTTGTCCATTCCAGTGAGATAAGGGCAGAGCAAAAACTTGACATGGGATTAATGGTCATCTGAAGGGGGTTGTCCAAGTTGCTTTGCTGTTCCCATGGGGTGGAGAGGTTGCTCAGCAGATCTCTGCTGTGGCAGAAGGGAAATATTTCATAGCAGGATTTCTGACTTTCTGACAGCAATCCAGAAAGTCTGTGCTGTGGGAACATGGAAAAGGAGGGAGCAGAAGGCTTCAGTTGTGCATATCAATGACTAATGTAGCTCCAGGTGACTGCGCTGGTTTCTTCTACTCTGACGCAGAAGCCTTTTGCTCAGCTCCTCAGCCTTATGTGTTTGTGGACCCATGTGGATTTTTCCTTGCTATCTAGACTTCTGGATAGCTACTTAAATCTAAAGACAATGGGTATTTTTGCTTAGTTAGGTTTTGTTGATTTCTTAAAAGTCATCCATTGAACCTACTGGTTGTTTTCAAAGCAAAAGTCAAAGCTACATTTCATTAAATGCTATTTTAAAATGCTATGAAAGTGACCTAAAACCCCCTCCTCCTCTAGAGTTCTGTGCTGGAACTCATCTCTGCTGCCTTCTTGCTATCCTACCACTCTTGCCAGCTTTCACTCTTCCTATGCAACATAGCAGAAGCTAGTTTCTGTAAGCTGGCACCTTATCTAAATGACATCAGTAATATCCTATTATCTTAAGGTCTAATCAGGGGTAAAGAGCTGAAATTAAGTTACAACCCAGAAATCTGAAGATTAACTGTAAAGGTTCCTCTGATGCACTGAAGGTCCATGACTCAAGAGTTCTTAAAAGTTATAAGGAATACTCAAAGCCTATAAATTAATTACTGCCAAGAAAATTGCAACACTGAAGTTAATTTCTGGTAGAAACACTTGTTCCTTCTCTAAAAAATAAAAATAAAATGGTAGAGTGTAAAAGAATAATATATGAAATTTGGTTTTTTTTTTGTTTGTTTTCTCAAAACATTTTTATTTTTTTTTTTAAAGAACACAAACAGTCCTGCTGGGGGTGTTTCTCTTAGGAAATGTAACTTATTGATGTATAAACTTAAATTCACACACCAGTGTTTCCAGTACACCATTTCTGTGGATCATTCTGAGGTTTCTCCCTTAATAATAGCAAACCCAATAACTATTATTTGCCTAGAGGACTGTAATTGAGAACAGCACCTTCCATTCTCCTGTTTATTTTTGCTCTTCCAGATGTGAGATGAAGCCCTGATCTGACTGACAGATTAAATTACTTTGATCCATATAATATTCAGATAAAACAATCACACATAATTGAAAATATCTGTTCTAATCAAGAGTCTTTGAGAGCAAATTAGTCTTCTCTTCTTCCTGCTTCTTGCTTGTTGAGTTCACTTTCAAGGTATGACAATAAATGTGCCCGAACTCAATCTTTCCTTGTAACCCTTTCCCAGAAAGGAGTCAAAGAAGAGTTGTTCAAGCCAGGCAGAACACCAAGACATGAAGCATAGTCTAGCCTGTTAGGATGTTTCTTGACTTCATCCCTCGACAGTTTCCATTTAGGCCTCAATGACATCTCCCAGAGGTGAAAGAACCTTCTCTAAATACTTACTAAACTTAACAGGAGTTAATTTGCCCTGGAATGTACTGATGCATAAAGGTATTTTCTTCTGACTAGTTGTTTATCTTTCTCCCTCCACCTCCCTATTAATTAGTACATTTTAACACTTCTTTTGGAAGACTTGGCTGCATATGGTGTAATTAAAAATCACAAATCCTGGGTGCTGAAGGCATACTGAGATACATTAGTCTTAGAAAAATCTTGCTTGATGTCACTGTAATGCTATGCCAAATTTTGACAAGTTAAAATGACTACAGTACTACTTTAATAGAATGTAACAGTCGATTTATACAGAAATAGGAATGAAAAACTAATCTCCATTGGGATCTTGATAAGTAATTGCATTTGCAAAATATATGCGGAATATTGCAATGAGTTTCTTATTGAAAACATTAAGGCTGGTTGGGCTGGTTCTTGATTTTTGGGTTTTGGTTTTGGTTGTTTGGTTTTATTTTCTCTACAATGGCAAGCACTAAATTAACACCCTGCCTTCAGATATCAAGTTTCATCAAAGTGTTTCTATCCTGGCTAGCATTAGGCAATTAATATTAGTTGACATGAGCATGTAAATAAGGGTACTCATGCACCTGTGTGAGTCTGGATCTTAGTCGCTTATTCTCATTGTCTACAACCACTACTCCTGTTGACAGTGGCAGATCACACACTGAAGCCTCTGAGAGCTACACAAAGTCTTGTTTGGTGTGGGTTTTTGGTGGATTTTTGTTTGTTTTTTTTTTTCCTCAGGAAGGCAAAACAAATCTGTGCATATGCTCCCAACCTTATGAACTACTACAAGAGACGGCCTTCCCTAAAAGAGGAAGGATACAAGGATTATATTTGTTCTTTACTAAGTTTAATAATCTTAATGCTTCAGATGCCTATTCCCCTGTTTGTGTATGCATTATGAACAGGGAGACTTACTCTAGTGAACCTGAAGGAAGTTAAGAGATGGCGTTGGACTGAGCATGGAGTGCTCAGTTTATCCCTGGTATGACAATTATTGATGTTATCTCCTATATTATATATACAAAAAAAGCTGGAACTGCAGACAGCCTGACTCAACAGAGAGGTTCCTTCCCCAAAGAGCTTTAGAGTGAAAGAAGGTCATGGGACATGCAGGGGAAAGCAAAATATTTTGGGATGACACAAAGTATTTGCTTATCTGGGAACTGTTAGCCGCAGTGAAGGGATGGATGTGAACACCTTGGTTCTTGAGTTCAGGCTAAAAGTAGCAAAATCTTTTTTAGAAGCTGAGTCCAAACTCATTCACAAGAACATCTGCTCTGATCTTCTACATACCTCAGTACTCAAAACAACAATCAAGAATAAAAGCTCCTGTTATGACAACATTCAATTCAACTCTGTTTTGGATAGCTTTTGCATGGAGCACAGTAGGACTGAATGGAAAGTTCTCCTGATGAATATGCTGACTAGGGTATTGGAAGATGCTACAGCTTTATTAATGTGTAAAGCCAAACACCATAAATTACAAATATTACCATTTATATATGCATAGCCTACACTGCACTGCGAAGTTGCTCATGCAGGTTAGATCAAGAGCCAATTGCTCTGAATATCATTCAATTTTTTATAAATTAGGTCAGATGAGAAAGCTGAGGAAAAAAGTATGTTGAGTGGGGAGTAGACTTGTAGGAAAGAAATAAACACCAGCCCACGGAAAGGGGAGGGGGATCTCCTGCTGGCTACAAGCCCTGAATTTCTATAGGAGTCCTCCAGGCCCAAGGACAAGAAAGAGTCAGCCTAGCTTGACAAACTGGGTGTTAGTGGATACTAGTGACCTAAAGGGGAAAGGACTGTAATGCCGCTCTGGCTTGTGAGTATTCCCCAGGCTATAGCTCCTGCTTTTGTAATTCGCTCTTGTCATTTTTATTTATTGCCAATTGTTCATTTGAACGCATCAGCTGCTGTTAGTGACAGGAGAGCCATGCAATGAGAATGCTGGATATGCACCATGGAAATATGTTATACTCATTAGTGTCAGAGAAAGCCGATGAAGGAAACATTTGTACTAATTTTGAGAGAGTGTTTGTGCTCTTAAAAGTGACTCTGTTAAAATGACACGAAGAGGATACAGGCAGGCACAACCCCCCAGTTATTCTTTCTTCATGATGTTAGAACAAATTGATTCCATTTACAAGTCAGAGTATGAGTGCTCATAGCCTTTGCAGAGAACTATGCTTTGTGAGGTATAGATCGAGCTAAGTCTGGTCTAAGTCAGGTGTCACTGGCAGGGATGGGCACAGTCCAAAGCTGTGTATTCAGATATACGCCAAACTCTGGAGAGGGATAGATCAGCTCTGCTAGTCTCATATTCTTTGGGACACCTAGAAAAGATGAATTTTCCATGTGATCTAAAAGAAAAACTCACCCCTTTTCCAGTGTGTGTCTTTCTAAATGAAAATATTAACAATCTCCTCAGTTGCTTGTACAATCCTCCCTAAATACTGATTAACCAATAACCTTAAGTTTTTCCTCCTAGCCTTCTTGCTTCATTCCTACTTCCTTTGACTCCTGATGAGAGAAAGAAATGATCCATCTCAGTGAAACAGCTGATTCTTTGAGAAAATGGATGGCTGGACATCTCCCTTCAGGGAAGCTGCTGCAGGCAGCCAACGACAGTGTTGTGTTGGAGTTCAGAACAGGCACACCTCTGAACACAGGCAGGGATTGGGTGTTTTCAGTGCTGCGAAAATGCTTCCTCAATTCTAAAAGCAAAGCCTGCGCAATGGAAAACACTGAGATGTCCCAAGTAGGTCATGCTGTAGGATTACTGCCTATCACTTGCCCTTTCTGGACTCCATTGTCTTTGGCTAGATGATATATAGACTTGGTTTTGTTTAAATAGTCAATGTTACAAGAACTCCTATCATGTATACTATAGTTATGTTAATTATAGTTGCTATGCTATACATCACTGTATTCTACATCCAACTGCCATTTCTTGCCTCTTTTTCATCAACACATGCTTTCAGTGGAGTCTTGTCTAAGAGATGACAGGGTCAACCCAGAAAACAGGCATAATAATATTGCTGCAGCTCACGGGTCATTTTCTCCTTTTGTTTTGTTAAATCCCACTACAAGCTTCAAGCCCGTGTCATCCTCAGCACAGACATGCATACGTCAACATCCCTCTTCTCATCTGCTAAAGGGGTGTAGCATAAGAGAGGTCTACTATGGTAATGTGAGCAAACTGAAGTTATATCTGCCTCTTTCATACTGATGCTAGATAGCCAGTCCCAGGCAGCCTTACAGTCATAGCAAAACACTGAAGAGGAAATGAGGTTAAATTAATATAGAGGGAGTCCAATTTATCAGAATTCTCACACCTTGGGATGTCCCCACTCTGCTTTTGGTGGTTGCTACATGTCCTCCCTCTGGGAAAATCTCTGGAAC